CACCTCAAACCAGTGATGAAGAAAAACTCTTAAAAGCAGCCAGAGGAAAAAAAGACCCATTGTGTACAGTGAACCAAGGATAAGAAAGGCTGCAAACTTCCTGTCAGAAACAATGGCAGTCAGGATAGACAATTCAAGGTAGGAGGCATCCTCAAAGTATTAAAGGAAAAAACCTGTTAACTTATATTCTATACCAAATCAAAGTAGCTTCCAATAAAGGCAAAATATTTGTTCAGATACAGAAAAGACAATAGAATTCATCACCAAAAAAGATCCAAAGTCAAAAGAATGGGAATACGAAAGCAACAGTAAACCAGGCAATGTTATCAATGTCAAAGTAAGATTCCATGTAAAAGGCATCAAATGGGACAAAATCTTACTGTTCTTTTGCAAGTTTATTGTTAGTTGATGAATTTCATAATTCAATGAGGGTTATCTTGCAAACTGTGTAAATATAATATATTCTTCAAGAAACAAAAGTGACAGAAACATAACTATAGTAAAAAATATAAATTTCTTCTTTTTAATCTTTTTTTTTAAAGATTTTATTTATTTATTCATGACAGACACACAGAGAGAGAGAGGCAGAGACACAGGCAGAGGGAGAAGCAGGCTCCATGCAGGGAGCCTGACGTGGGACTTGATCCAGGGTCTCCAGGATCATACCCCAGGCTGAAGGTAGCGCCAAACCGCTGGGCCATCAGGGCTGCCCTCCTCTTTTTAATCTTTAAATCAAGTAGGCAAAGGATAATTAGGGCCTAGAAACTTAGATTGGTATCATTGGTAATGCTAATTTAACTGAAACATACAACCTCTACAGGCTACAAATAATACATCTTTTTAAAGTTTTTATAGGACATTTACAAACACACACAAAATGGGTAAAGAGCGTGTCAGTTATTCTCAAAGCAAAAATGCATACATACAGCACGTCTGATTATGTGATTACACAATGTAATAAATCCAGGAATATTAAAGAATAAATTTTTAAAACCCCATCTAATAATTAAACAAAATTCTTAATTCTAAAACAATGAAGAAATTATTTTTTTTACAATGAAATTAAAACTGCCATGTCAAATTTACAAAATTAGGAATAAGAAATGTAATATAATAACATTATAGAAACTATAAAATAGAAGACAATTCCACACTTAAATTTTAAAATCTCACTGATAAAAAGTTTTACAGAAAAATATAAATTTTCAGAATTGACCTGAGAAGAAGAAAAATCCGAACAGATAACTGTGGAGAATTTACACCAAATAGTTCACATGATTTTCAAAAGCATACCAGGTCTAGAATAATTTATAGGAAAATTCTACAAAGCAAATTAATTCCTATGCTATAGCAACTGTTTCAAAGGAGAAAAAAAGGAGCAAAGGAATAACAGTGGAAGAAAAACCTACTACTTTTATTTAAGCCTTGGTATTGGGGCACCTGGGTGGCTCACTTGGTTAAGCTTCTGTCTTTGGCTCAGATCATGATCCTAGGGTCTGAGATCCAGTCCCACATCTGGCTCCTTGCTTAGTGGGGAGTCTGTTTCTCCCTTTCCCTCTGCCCCTCCCCAACCCACTTACTCATACTCTCTCTCAAACAAAATATTAAAAAAAACAAAAACCCTAGTATCAAAGTTAGATACAAAAGAAAAAAACTATAAACCCACCTCACTTATTAACATAGAAAAATTATAAATCACATGGCATTCTGGTTTGTTTTCTTTAATCTCACAGGGGTCAAGTGCACTGTGAGTGTGGCACACTGAAGAAATGGAGTTCTTGCTCCCATCCCACTTAGGGCAAGCTCCCTGATTGTTGTAAAACTACCACCAGAAAGCCAACTCACAAGCTCTCTCTGAGCTCTCTTCAAGACCACTCCTGGTAAACACAGATCATTACCTGTGCTTCCTTCTACAAGTGACAGGGAGTGCTGGGAGATGACCCTGGGAAGGTCTACTCTGCTAAAGGTGCAATCTGAACTCTAAATGTGGGAGCTGAGGGCAGCACTGGAAACTCAGTGAGATGCTGTGAACTATGTTCAGGAAAAACAATCTGCTGATGCACTTAAAAGCAAGTCTGAAGTACAGGCTTAATTTCAAGATTTCAGCAAATTGAGGTTTGAGGTGATGAAAGTTTAACAGTGAGTATGGAAAAGAGATGGAATTGGTAGGGCTGACAGAATTGGCAGGTAGGAAGATGCAAGGGTAGGGCAAGGCACAAATAATACCATCAAGGGAATGAAAAGATAACCTCCAACACAGGATGCAAATCACATTAACTGTTAAATGACCTATATCCAGAATATATAAAGAACTCTTAAAATTTAATAACAGACAACTGAAAATGGGCAAAGGATTTGAATAGGCATTTCTCCAAAGAAGATAAACAAATGAGCAAACACCAAAGATGTTCAGTATCATTATTCACTAGGGAAATGCAAATTCAAACCACAGTGAGATATTACCCATTCAGATGGTTATGATAAATAAGACGGACAAAAACAAGTGTTGACATAGATGTGGAAGGATCAAAACCATTATACACTGCTAGTGGGAATATAAAATGGTGCGGCCATTTTGGAAAACAGTTTGGCAGCTCCTCAAAGAATTAAACATAGAGCTACCATGTAACTCAACAATTCTACTCATAGGTATACATCCAAGAGCATTGAAAACATGATATCCACAAAAACTTACACATAAATGTCCACAACAGCATTATTTATCATGGCCAAAAAGTGGAAATAACTCAAATGTCCTCATCTGATGACTGAAAAAATAGAAGGTTTTATATCTATACAATTAAATACCATTCCATTTTATTATGTATGTAATTATTAATTACTTATGTACTGTTATTATACTATGTCATTCTCTTGGCAATAAAAAAGAATGAAGTGCTGACAGATGTGATAACACGGTCGAACCTTGAAAACATTATGCCAAGTCAAAGAAGTTAGACACAAAAGGCCACATCGTATAGAATTCCATTTATAAGAAATGTCCAGAATAGAAAGGTTTATAGACAAAAAATAAATCAGTGGCTGCCAGAAACTAAGGGGAAAGGAAAAGGAAGTGAAATTGGTTTGCGGGGGGTGGGGGGGGACTGTTGAATGAAAATTCTAAAATTAGGCTGCAGTGATGGGTAAACAACCCATTGAATATACTAAAAAGTTTAAAAAAAAGATTTTATTCATTCATGAGAAACACACAGAGAGGCAGAGATACAGGCAGAGGGAAAAGCAGGTTCCCTGTGGGTAGCCCAATACGGGACTTGATCCCAGGACCCCAGGATCACAACCTGAGCCAAAGGCAGATGCTCAACTACTAAGCCACCCAGGTGCCCCTCTAAAAAACTTTTAATTGCGCATGAATTATACCTCAATAAAGCTGTTTAAAAAATAAAGTTACCTATACTGACCACAAAGTTTCCAAACTGGGTAACTAGGAAAATAATCATAATTAGTAGGAATAATAACAGCATCTACTATTTACTAAATGCATGGATTGTACCAGAATCTGTATAAAACCACTGTATGTATTTTATCCCATTAATCCTTAAAATAATCCACTGGGTATGTATTTTTTATTCCTACTGTATAGAAGAGGAAACAGGTTAAACTACTTGCTTAAGGTCATATAACCAGTGGGTGGTAAAGTTGAAATTTAAATTCAGAACACTTGCTCAGGCCCAATACAGCTAGAAGACAATATGGAAGATAAAAGTGAATACTATTTTCACAAATACACAAATGAAATAATCTATAATATACAACGTATTCCTAAACTCCAGAGTAAATTATTCACCATTCTCAGACTTACTGAAGTACTAGCAATTTTATTTATCCTACACATAGTTTAAGAAAAACAAAACACCAACAGTAACTATTCTAAAACATGCACACCTATCCCCGCTCATTCCCTCCATGGTTCACGGAGGCTCTCTGGCTTTTTTAAAAGCAGAGGACAACAAGGAGACTGAAGAATCACTGAGTTCTACATGACCTCCAAGATCTCTTCCAACTTTGATGAGTTTAACAGTTGCCTGTATTCATTATACAGCTAAAGGACAGTATGATAAATGTTATGCATCACTTAAACACAATTTCATGTCTTAAAAACACAGATAGCATTATAATAGGGAAACAGACCCATCAGTCTTGAAGCCCTCCAGAGATTTCTTAATCAGAACAGAGGGTAATTTGCATATTTACTGTAGGGAGCACATTTATTTTTTTTAAAGGGATTTTCCCTTTTTTTTATTATTATTTTTTATTTTTTTTATTTTTTTACGATAGTCATAGAGAGAGAGAGAGAGAGAGAGAGAGAGAGAGAGGCAGAGACACAGGCAGAGGGAGAAGCAGGCTCCATGCACCGGGAGCCTGACATGGGATTCGATCCTGGGTCTCCAGGATCGCGCCCTGGGCCAAAGGCAGGCGCCAAACCGCTGCGCCACCCAGGGATCCCATAGGGAGCACATTTAAACACAGTAAATACCACTTTAGTAAATCTAAAGGCTGGTACAAATGTACAAAAATACCAATACCCATGCCTACCAAAATTCTTTACATTAGTCAAATGCTTTACAAGTTCACAAAGCAGACTATGGAAACTTGGATCCTGCAATACCCCTGAATCCTCATACTCATTTTAAAGATGAGCAAACTAAAGCTTAGGAAGGTTAAAAGACCTGCCCAAGGTCATATATCTGAGAAGTGATAGGTCAGGATTCAAATCAGTTTAATTGAAATCTAATACTTTCCAAAGTTAAAAAAAAAAAGTCACGTGGCAGAGAAGTTTCTCTGAAGTTAAAATGCCGTAGGGTAAGATGTAGAACAGCGACTGATCTTAAAATATGCAATAGCTCCTCCACAGAAGAGAAGTAAGAGAAACTCTGGTCTAGAGCAATTAAATACAACTACATCATTATTTTTGCTGAAAAAGAAACCATTTTAGTAAATAATTTTTAAAAACCTGTCTTTTTAGTAATTTCATAGCTTACCTAATGCAAAGCTGGATTCCTGGAAAAAAAACCCTTATGCCATGGCCATCACAAAGCAGTATGGATGAAAGAGGAAGAGGAACCCATTTCTCAGTTTTGCTTCAAATTAAAATTGCACTGACTTCTGAAAGAAAAAAATCATGTTGAAAATGTAAAAAAAAAAAAAAAATACTGGTGACATTTACTATGTCCATGTGCCTTGCTAATAAATACTACAGGTGTGTGAGCAGCAGAAACTAAACTAATCAAGATCGGTATTTTTGGTTATATTAACTTCTATTCTGTACTTTCTTTGCTTCTGTGTTGTATTTTTTAAAGAGACTTTTAATTTTGAAATAATTTTAGATTTACGGAAACCGCTTAGCCACCAGGGTTGCCCCAGTTTTATTTTAATTTTTTTAAGATTTTATTTATCTATTCATGAGAGACACACAGAGAGAAGCAGGCTCCCTGTGGGGAGCCTTATATGGGACTCAATCCCAGGACCCCAGGATCAAGACCTGAGCCAAAGGCAGACGCTCAACCACCGAGCCACCCATGCCCCTCTTGCCCAGTCTTAATAACATCTTATATTACCATGGTACATTAGTTAAAAGTAGAAAACCAGAATTGATCAATGTCTATGTAATTTTACAGAATTGAGATATCCTCTGGAAAAGTGTTTTTGGTCTCCAGATCATTGCCAATCAGCACCTCTACAGGCTCTCCTAATTGGAAGACTTTAGCCAAAAAACTTAGTAAAACCTATTTTAGGATTGAAAAAAAATTACGCTACCTACTTAATGAGGTTTGGTTCTGGTATCCTTTTAATTTTAAGCCACTGCTGAATGTTTTACTTAAAACTTTAGGGCAAACATTCCATTGTAGGAAACTCTGAGATTCAAAAGAGAAGGTTTTGTTCTAATCACTAACTCCCCATTTATCGGTCATCCTGCCATTACATTACTATATAGCCAAGGAAATGGTTTTATTTTATTTTTTTAATGTATTTATTCATGAGAGACACAAAGAGAGAGGCAGAGACACAGGTGGAGGGAGAAGCAGGCTCCCTGCGGAAGCCCAATGAGGGACTCCATCCCAAGACCCCAGAATCACAATCTGCCAAAGGCAGATGCTCAACCACTGAGCCACCCAGGTGTCCCAAAGAAATGGTTTTAAATGTACTCTCAAATTCCTTAGCACTTGGAGTAAGAAGCTCAAATCAAGAAAAGCAGAAGGCCGAAATAGCACTCAGTTTCAGGAAAATGATTAGCTACAAACCAACAAAATAAAGGAAAGTTGTTTTCCTCAACATGTTACAAATAAGACAAAAATCTTTATTTTCCACCTGTAAATATAAAGAAGGGAAAAAATGGGATCCCTGGGTGGCGCAGCACTTTAGCGCCTGCCTTTGGCCCAGGGCGCGATCCTGGAGATCCGGGATTGAATCCCATGTCGGGCTCCTGGTGCATGGAGCCTGCTTCTCCCTCTGCCTGTGTCTCCGCCTCTACCTCTCTCTGTGTGACTAACATAAATAAAAAAAAAAAAATTAAAAAAAAAGAAGGGAAAAAATAAAAGTTCATAAAAACATAGAGTACATTCAACTGATTTTAAGAGGCATATTTCAAAACTTCTGCAATCAGGATATGATGGCCAAGTGGAAATTTTAATGCTTGTCACTGCCTGAGACAATGATAGAGCATTTCTGAGAGCCACATCAGTGTTTCTGAAGGCACAAAAGAGGACACTGTGGAAAAGTATGGACCCAACTCTGAACTGAGAAGTATTCAAAAAGAGTAGGAATGTTAAAAATTTAACAAACACTTTTATTCATTTATTTCACTTATTTTTCTTTTTATTTAGCATTAGAATGATGTCATTTAAAAATGTCTAAATAAGTCTAAAAATATTTTCTAAGAATTTTTATAAGCCTAAATGATTAAAAAAGCACATGTCATAGCTAAATGGATGGTGTTTTTTTCTCCTTTGGTGGTACAGAAAACAATCAATGGTATTAGGATTAATACAGTATTAATTCAGCTGCGATATCTCACAAGAAAGCTTGAAAAACTACCATACTGGCAACCTGATAGCTTAAATAAGAGAACATAACATAAAGGCCTCCCCCATCAGAAAACACACAGGAAATGACACATAATTTTGCATTATCATAATAACAGGGCTATTTTTCCAACCCTAAAGTTTTCTTTATGTAAAAAGTAAAATCTCCTCAAATTTCCCATGGGTCTGCAGCAGATGCCTACATTGAATCCAAGAACATGGAGGGAGAAGAGCCAGGGAGGGAATCTGCCACAAGTAGAAAGCTTAAGAGAAGATTTTAAGCAAATTCTTTTAACTGAACTCCTTTTCTGAGGACATTAGCTATGATGAAAGCAGGTATCAACAAACGTAGGTTCAACTAAATATTCCTAAGACACACAAAATAAATTTTTAAAATCACATTTTCAAAGAGCTGCTTAGTTCCAAGCTTCTCCAAAGAGCAGTTTGGGTTGTTTGGTTGGTTGGTTTTATTCTGTACTGTGGTAAAATACACTTAACATAAAATTTGCCATTTTAAAGTGTACGATTAGTGGCATTAAGCACATTCACAGCATTGTGCAACCATCACCACTATCCATTTCCAGAACTTTTTTCATCATCCCAAACTAAAACTCTGTATTCGTTAAACAATAATGCTCCATCTCTTCCTGTCAGGCCCTGATAAACTATATTCTACGTATGTCCCTATGAATTTGCCTATTTTAGATACCTCACATGAGTGGCCTCATAAGATATTTGTTCTTTTGTGTCTGGATTACTTCTCCGGTGAGTACTTTAGTAAAGAAAAGAATGAATCCCAAATTATTAGGTTTCTTATCATTTAACTGTAGATACTGACACAATCTCTGAACTATGCATACAGCTTTCTCAGAAATCCTGCTATTCCATGAGCCCCATGAGGCAGAGGATCTTAGACTGACTCTTCCTTAGCCTGTAGACAGGTCTAGTTCAGCAGCTGTAACGCAAAGAGCAGGCTCTTGAGAGCCCCGGAGGCCATCCTGGGGTAAGGGGCTGGAGCAAAGGGAAGTGGAGGGCTGTGCAGGCCAGAAGGCCATGCATAAAAAAAAGACAAGTATGTATCAAGATACTTTGGCCCTGAGATGGTCTCTGGTTTGTCTCCCAGGAGGAGTTCCTGCACCAGCACACTTGGGCTGGGCGGCACCTGTCAGAGTTGAGGCCAGACTGCAGTGTAGTCACTAAGACTGTCACCAGTTGCAGGAAGCTTCACGGGGTCATGAGTCATTTTGCATGGCTCAGAGGTCCGGGCAAGCCTGCCCTGCTCCGCCCAGACAAGCCTAGTTAGGAGACGCACAAACAAGAGAGAAAGACACAAAACTGGCAGAAACACAGACGGCCAAAGAGCAAGGCTGACAGGCAGGCCATGAATGAGAGTGAGGACTGAGAGGGAAACACAGGGTCAAGAGTCACATAAGCAAAGTAGAGACAGAAAAAAAGGGTGCAGATAGAGATGTGCTCAGCAAGAGAAACTGGGGAGAAATACAAAGTTGATAGTGGCAGAGTTCAGAGGCAGAGAGGGCAGGTGACGACAGGTGACAGAGACGTCAACAGAGGTGAAACACTACTTAGAAGCAAACGGAGGCAGACACCAGCCAAGTCCGGGTGCTGCCTGTCTCCCGGCTGCGGCTCAAAGCCGAGGCCGCCACGCCGCACCCACACGGCGCCCCCGAAAGGCCGGCGGACGTACCCAGGCGGGATCTCTAAGCGCTCTGGCCCGCCGAGGCCCGCCGCCGCGGGGTGACCTTGGGCGAGACGCTGCTTCGGGGGCCTTGGGTGTCGCGGTCCGCGCACCGGGCTGGCTGGAGGCCGTAGGAGTCGGTCTCGGGCGCGGGGACTCCAACCGCCCGAGCGCGGCTTCTTAAGCGTCCGGGTCTGCGGAACGGGCCTGCCAGGCCGGGGGCGCGCGCGCGCCGGGACCTGCAGAGGAAGCCCTTAAACCTCTCCGGCTGCCCTCCCTGTCCCCTCGCTACCTGTTGTCCCGACTTGGCCGTACCTGCTAAGGGCTCCGCGTTCACATAACCCGCCCGCGGGACACTTTCCGCCGCCAGCGTCAGGCCCGTTCAAGCCGTAGCCGCCGCAACCGCCTCAGCCTGCACCTCCCGCCCCCGGAAACGCTTCCCGGTTCCGCCCCCGAAACTGCCAGTGCTTCCGGGGGTGAGTCAGAGAGAAAACGGTGTGCGCATGCGGGACTCTCCTTCGGGGCGGGGCGTGAGGGGAGCGCGCTGTTGCCGCCCTACTCCTGCGCAGTGCAACCTGGCGCGGGTCGGTTGTCTTCAGGGACTCAGAGTGAGGCCAGTGCTGGGAATTAGGGAGCTGACACCAAGTCCTAACCCCTTTTCAAACGTGATCTCTCTCATGCTGCCTAGCAGAGACCGTGTCGAATCCATTTTTGCCTCCAAGTGCCTTTGGCACGTAGTGGATGCTCAGTGAATGTACTACGACAGGAACAGTTCCATCTGTGCCAGGCGCTGTGCTGGGTCCCTCTAAGAAAAACCTCATTTTGTTCAGGTACCAGAAGAGACCCTTTGATCTCAGGGGAGGTAGATCTTCACTGCTACTAGGAGGAATGACTCATAATTAGTCCAGAACTATTCACAGTAATCTCATTAGCCAAGTGGTTAGACAAAGCGTAGTCATGTGACCAACTCCTAGCCCATAATACTTAAAAAAAAAAAAAAAGTCCAGTAGGACTTCTAGTTGAGTATGCTCAAGTGCTTTGCCACTTTTATTTTCTTCCTTCCTCTAAGCAGACTTGAAGGTTGGAAGTTCAGTCCCAATCATGTGCCTATGATGTGACAAGCAAATGCTAAGGTTGGCAAAATGGAAAGATTGAAAGAGCCTAGGTCTCATATGACAGTAAACTACAGTTCTAGCTTACCTCTGGATATTTTATTACATGTGCCTAACATTTCTTACTCAGACTTTTTTTTTTAATTTTATCCATTTATTCATGAGAGGCAGAGAGAGAGAGAGAGAGAGAGGCAGAGACAGGCAGAGGAAGAAGCAGATCCCCTGCAAGGAGCCCAATGTGGGACTCGATCCTGGATCCTGGGATCACGCCCTGAGCCGAAGGCAGACGCTCAACCGTTGAGTCACCCAGGCGTCCCTCAGACTTTATTTCTAACAAAACTGAGGACTCTTCAAATATGACAGCAACAAAATATATTAAAATAAGAGGAGAAATATTGAAAGCACCCTTTTCAATACATAGATAAACTTGTGAGGAAATCAGGAAAAATCATCTGAGGCCAGGAAGAAAGCAGAAACACAAGCCTAGGAAGTTAGAGTTGAAGTTGAGAAGTTATCCAGGGATACAGTCTGTCTCTGTTCTGATGGCTTAGGGTGTGTGCTATGCTGATAAGTATTTTGAAAATCATCTTTGGAGATAGGTAAACAATGATGTTACTACTAGCTATAGTGACACCTACCTAGGTCCAGGCAGGATGAGAGCCGAATTGGAACATCAGGTTGGGACCCAAAAGGGAATATATCTTTAGAGGAAGGATAAACTGGGGCGGGGGGGGAGGGAGAAATCTGCTCCACAGAGATAGGCAGCGAGGAAAGCTGTCTCTCTCTGCCTTGGCTCTAAGTGGAGAAGTAATGAATTTTACCCCTAATGGATACCTGGCTAGAGTCTGGCCATCATATGGCCACAATGTTTGCATGGTCCAAAAGCCCTCATGCTGAACATTTCAATTTAAAATGGACCTGAGTTGGGACGCCTGGGTGGCTCAGCGGTTGAGCATCTGCCTTCGGCTCAGGGCATGATCCTGGGATCCAGGATTGAGTCCTACATCGGGTTCCCTGTGGGGAGTAGCTTCTCCCTCTGCCTATGTCTCTGCCTCTCTCTCTCTCTCTCTCTCTCTCTCTCTCTCTGTGTGTGTGTGTGTGTGTGTGTCTCATGAGCAAATAAATAAATCTTAAAATTAAATTAAATTAAATGGACCTGAGTTGATAGTCTCTGCGGTACTTGGCTGAAACAAACTCATATCCTCTCTGGAAGAATTTACTGTCAACCTGGGTCTCAAAGAATTCCCGCAGATAGGCTTCCAAATGGATATGAACTCACAATCAATGACCACAAAACACATAAGGAAATGAGCAGAAAAGTCAAGCACCAGAGGGAGATCTGATTTTCTTTTTTTTATTATTTTTTAAAAAATATTTTATTTATTTATTTATTTGAGAGAGAGAGCACAGGCTCGAGCACAGGAGGGAGGAGCAGAGGGAGAGGGAGAAGCAGGCTCGCCACCAAGCAGGAACTTGATGTGGGCTCAATCGCAGAACTCCGAGATCATGACCTGAGCTAAAGGCAGATGCTTAACCAACTGAGCTACTCAGGTGCCCCATTTTCTTTATTTTCTTTCTTTCTTTCTTTCTTTCTTTCTTTCTTTCTTTCTTTCTTTCTTTCTTTCTTTCTAAATTTATTTATTTATTCATGAGAGAGAGGGATAGAGAGGCAGAGACACAGGAGGAGGGAGAAGCAGGCTCCATGCCAGGAGCCCGACACGGGACTCGATCCCGGGACTCCAGGATCGCGCCCTGGGCCAAAGGCAGACGCTAAACCGCTGAGCCATCCAGGGATCCCCTCTTTCTTTCTTTCTTTCTTTCTTTCTTTCTTTCTTTCTTTCTTTCTTGATTTTATTTATTTTATTTATTTATTTTATTTATTTTAGAGAGACAGCACGAACAGGGAGAGGAACAGAGGGAGAAGGAGAGGGAAATAATCCTCAGCAGACTCTGCTCTGAGTGCAGAGCCCAATACAGAACTTGATCCCACAGCCCTGAGATCCATGACCTGAGCCAAAACCAAGAGTTAGATGCTTAACTGACTAAGCTACCCAGGCTCCACAAGATCTGTTTTAAACAAATAGCTCATTGGAAGGTTTAAGCACCAAATTAGATAAAGCTGAAGAGAAATTAGTGAATTAAAAGTTAGCTTTGAAGAAAATAACCCAAAAAGTATCCCAGAGAGACAAAGAAATGGAAAAAAGTTAGGAGGTTCATCATAAGCTTATTAATTATGTTAGGAGATTATATAGTCAATATGAGCAAGATAATTGTCAAGTAATGATTGGTAATTTTACAGAATTGATGGAAGATAAGAATCCTCAAGAAATGCACTGAATTCCCAGATAGGATAAGGAAATAAAAAACCTAGATCCATTCTGGTGAAACTCTGAGCTGAGTGAGGAGCCCAACACAGGGCTTGATTTCATAACCTTGAGATCATGACCTGAGCCAAAACCAATAGTTGGATGCTCAACCAACTGAGCCACCCAGGTGCCCCAAGAGATGATTTTCAAAGCAGAGAGGAAAGTCAGATAATCTATAATGAAATGATGTGATACCAACTCCTGATTGATCAATGGCACTAATGGAAGTAATGTTAATAAGAGTAGCATGAAATAATATCATTAATGAAATAATCACCTTAATATGATGAAATTGTCTACCTAGAATTGTACACTTAGTCTTTCAAGAATGAAAACACTGTACTATTCAGATCAACAAAAACCAAGAGTTTCTACCAACAGAACTTAACTGAAGGAACTTCTGGAAGATATATTTCAGGAAGAAATAAAATGATCCCAGAAGGAAGATCTGAGGAACAATAAAGACTGGTGAGCAAATAAATGGCAAACATGAGTAAATATGAACAAATATCAGGGCAAGAAACAAGAACAATTTATAATTTGTGGGATTCAGAAAGGCGAAGCAGAAATACTGGATTGATTGTATATAAAGAATAAGAGGATAACTGAAGGTAAAGTGTTATGAAGTATGCATGAGTTATCTGTTGCATAACAAACAGCCATAAAACCTCAGAGGGATACAGCTATATTTGTTTATTGCTCACACATCTGGTGTCAGCTGGGAGTGGATTAGGAAGCTCTGCTGAGCTTGGCTGGACTTGCTTACATGTCTGGGCTCAGCTAATCTAGAATGGTCTTGGCTAGGGGCATTTAGTCTGCTCCATGTGTCTCACTCACCAGCCAGGCTGTCAGGATAAGTTCTCATGGCAATGGCAGGGACACAAAAGAGAGCAATGGAAACGTACAGGCACATTTTTGAGACTCTTTTTACATCTAATTAGCCAAAGCAAGTCCAGTGTTAGCACTAGGGAGCTATGAAGAATCATGGCAAAGGGTTTGTATACAGGGAAAGTGAAGATTTGGAGCCATTGGTTCAATTAATCCAAGGTCTTTGCACTGTCAATAAAAATATTGATTAGCACTAGACTTCTAATTAAATATGAGCCTTAGAATTGGGGGCTTACCATTGAAAGAATAAAAATAGAGCTACAGGGGATCCCTGGGTGGCTCAGTGGTTTAGCGCCTGCCTTTGGCCCAGGGCGCGATCCTGGAGTCCCGGGATCGAGTCCCACATCAGGCTCCTGGCATGGAGCCTTCTTCTCCCTCCTCCTGTGTCTCTGCCTCTCTCTCTCTCTCTATGTCTATCATAAATAATAAATAAATATATGTTTTTTAAAAATAGAGCTACAGACTACACCAAAAGAAGAAAATTTTTAAAAAAATTTTTATTTATGTATTTATTTGAGAGTGTGTGTGCCTGCATGAGTGGGGGGAGGGGCAGAGGGAAAAGCAGACTCCCCACTTAGCAGGGAGCCCAACTCTTGGCTCGACCCCAGGACCATGAGATCATGACCTGAGCCAAACGCAGATGCTTAACTAACTGAGCCACCCAGGCACCCTGAAAAATAACATTTTAAAAAAGAAGGCAAAGAAGAAAGGAAGAAAGGGAGGAAAAGGCAGAAACAAAAACAAAACATAGAAAAAAAAGTGGAAAAAGAAATTCAAATGTATCAGTAATCACTATAGAAACATTTTCAAAAGCCCTAAACCTTCTAGTTAAAAAAGATTCTAACACCAAGTTTTTTTAAAAAAACATCAAGCTACCTGAGCCATAACAACTTGTTACTAGACATGTCTCTGGAGGCAAGGGAAACAAAAGCAAAAGTGAGCTATTGGGACTTCATCAAGATAAAAAGCTTCTGCACGGTGAAGGAAACAATCAATATAACTAAAGACAACCTACAGAGTGGGAGAAAATATTTGCAAATGATATATCTGATAAATG